ATTCTCGTAGATGACTTTTTAGGCTTCAACCCTAAACTAGTTTCACGCCTATCTAGTAAGTGTGATTTATAGTATTAGTAATAGTAGTAGAATATTGCTAACGAACAAAAGTTTATAAAAATAGTTTGCGTTTAATGCGAAACTATATTTACACCCAATGAGACTTTAATTGATATTTAGATAATAACTAGGTCGCAAATTCGTTTGAAAAGCTACCACTATCCGTCTGTCATTGGTTCAATAATTGCGTTGTTACTCTTACTATTGACTCAAAATTGTTTATTGCTACTTAATTAAATTAAACCTATTTTTTTCTCGAGTAATTTATTGCCTTTCACAAACAAAATTAATAAAAACCTGATTGACAATCTGGAATAATCTAAAGTTTTTTAAAATTCAAGTTGTTTTTTTGAAGAATTGTTTATTTTAAAGACAGTTATCATACCGTAAATCAACGCCACTAAAGAAATCATTGGAATCAATATTTATCAGTGTACACTCATGATTTCACACGGTCTGAGGCTTAGAATCTATAGGTCCGAAACCAGCTATAATATCATTCATTCACTTTACTGCTAGTATAATGTACAGGTTCAACTGATTACGTTTACATTCATCATTAATTGGTAACCTTGGGATTGTTTGAAAAAAGTCTAAAAATGTGTCTAATTTATAGCCTGTTGAATCATGTTTTACTTTTGATTTATTCAATAAATTATTAGATCTTGTGAAACAAAAGTGATGGCTATCATGGTATTAAGGTAACCTAACCCAACGCAAATCGTAGTCTCATATCTCCAGGTCATATACTGAGACATCATCTCATTTTGATGGATTTCTTTTGTCTTCTAAACAATTGTGTTTCTTAGACAATCATATAGGGATAAAATGATTATGGTAGTATGCTTTTCTCTAGTCTATCGAACCAAATGGTGTAATTATACCTAGTATTCAATACTTCTGTGTCCCATAAAGAATGAGGAGAAGCTGAGCTCACTCTGTACTTCTTTCACTTGCTCTGGGGAGGGAATTCGGTTGATTTACATTTCGCCAATTATTTATGTATATTTATCCCTTCTTGGTGCTATATCGAAAATGATCACAACTGAGTTTCTTATACATCTAACCATTTATTAGTACACACGAATGTACATATTTTGTTCATTTGATTTAGTGTTAGACTTTTGTTTTACTATTTTCGTGATTTTTTTTTTCTGGAATCGTATAATTGTTTCACTCTTTTAAGTAAATAACCACACAACACGGCAGTTACTGGATAATTAGTTCACTTCTATAAACAGTGTAAACTCTATTTATATAGGCAAATAACTATAACACGTAGAAAACTTGTTTGACAAAATAACACAACTAAGATTAAAATACTAAGCACGCACGTTTACATATCTATTAATATAAGAGTTTTCAAACTCGTTTGACTAATTAAATAATCATGATAAGCAATATGACCGAAAGTAAGTATCATTGATCTAAATTTTCCAAGTGATTTTTCGTGATGCAAAAAAAACGATTCCTGGACTGATTTGCCTTTTATCTATCTTTGAAAGAAAACTCGGTTTTTTCCATTCATTTTTGGCGATTTGTTTCGCTGTTTCCTTTTATTTTCTATTCATCAGTTATTGATTATTATGTGCTGAAATGTTGCATGAATTCAATTTATTTTATTTATTGATTTGAACACATAAATATTGGTACAAAGGGGCACCAAATACATATGCACTACACAAGTCACTTGATTTGTGTGTGGGCTGTGATACTACCCGGATGCCCAAACCGAAGCTGGTGGTTTTCTAAACAGGCCACACACATACACCCTTCGACCTAAAGGTCTGATCCACAAGGCAGTGGAGCAACGTCAGGAGATTCAGTCCCATAGTAGCCAGTGATCAACGATTGGTTCATACACCATTTGTTACTTCAGGATACTGGAGCCCATATGCAGCATTGATTCAGAATCAGGGTTTTCCAACTCCTATAGGTGGATCCTCCGTGTCCACTAACCCGGTTAATGTGCCGGACATTCGCCTTCGTCTTCTCAATTTAGTAAACGACACTCCCGCCACGAGAAGGCAGTGAGTAGGACTTCCCTGGCAGTGGTTGTATGCGCGTATCCATGAAAGATCATTCCAAGAGGGAGAGACAACTCTCCCCGACCGTACCAGAGCATTTTAGGGGCATTGAATATTACATATCTAGGGAAATGTTATGTAATTTGGATTAGTTGAATTTATTTAGTCGGTCCGTTATAAATCACACAGAACCTTGTACATTTATTCATCAATTCAAGTTGTCTCATTTCACTTTATCTTTCATCTTTTAGCACTTCAGTATTCCCCTATAGGATCCAGGTTAATTTTTCGGAGTATATGAGTTCTGGATATATGTATACACACATATTTTTCCATCCATCTCATTTGATAAAGACTCTTTTGCGGTACTGTTTTTCATCGGTGTGCACATTTGCTTGTTTCTTTACATCAAACTCCATATATCAATACTCCTTTATTTGTAGAATAGACAGGGTCAACTTTTTAAAATTTTTCTTAAAAGAAAAAAAATCACTTTCAACTTTTCATATATTGAAGTTTTGAACTGAAAAACGTTTTTTACATAACTGTTAAAATAGCAAGAGATTTTTTTGGTGATTTGAAAAATTTAATATTAACTAAAACAGCTCAGATATGCTTATACAGTAATGAACGAACATTCAGGTGCGGACAACCTATTTATTGTTTAATTACAGAATATCCTGGCAAAATATGAGAACTGTACATTAAATAATTCATTTGCAAATCTTCCATCAATTGTTATTCACATTTTGTATGATTCTTCCAATTCACAATTCCTTTCTATTTCCGTTTCTATTTTTTTTCAACTCGATCTTAGTCTTCTGCTGTCAGACACTCAACTTCAGACTGGTGTTACATACTACTTATGTCGAGAGACATAAGTGGAATTCACCACAATATAAGCTTAATTCAACTAGAAAGTAAATTGGGTTCAAATCTTCATTGACCATGTGGTAACAACCGATGTTTAATCAGCACTGAGAATTAGACGATATAACGTAAGCTTATTACCTAGTGACTGGTAATGTAAATATTCCAGAAGATTATTCATGTGTTATTAAGGAGTATAATCCAGTGAAATACATTTGGGAAGAGAAAAAAAGACAAGGAGGAATAAGGAGATCAAAATTAGGGAGAACACAAAGAGTGTATGCACCTACGCCATTGCAAACGATTTTGAGCCATGTCAATCAAGGTCTCTAACCATCGGTTGCTATCATCTCGCGGTCCCCAACCAGGTAGTCTACACCTAACAATATGACTCAGTCCTCTTGTCAGTGACTTCATGGACTTGTGCTATGTTTTGATCTGGCCGCCCCTAGCTTTCTTTCAATCTACTCCTATACAACAAAACATAGCACGCCGAGGCAGTCGGTCGTTGGGCATACGTAACACGTGTTCCAGCCATCTCAACTGATGAAGTTTCAATACGTCATCAATTGATTTGCCATCCTTACCTAGTACCCGTTTCCTAACAGCTGCTGATTTGTCTATAATTAAGGAAATTCGATACTAATCAAATGCTCGGTGTGTGCTTAAATTTACTTTGTTGATTCTTTAGATTATTAAGGCTTTCGATAATGTTTATTGAATGTTATAAATAATACTGATAAACTTTTACAACTATTTTTAAAGTAATAAATATTTCTAATCTCTGCATGTTCTCATTGCTTATGTCATCAACCCTTATTAACACAAGTTTGTGTGTATGAGAGAAAAATGGAATTCGTCCAAAATTCTACTTCAGTTATCACTTTTAAAAGTTGCTTTGCAACGTTTCTTTCCATAACACTCTATGGCTGCGAAATATCCTCTGTGAAAATAGAAGGCATTCGTAAGCTGTAAATATTTTATCATAGCTTTCTTCAAAAAATTGTTCGCTTTTAGTAGAACTAGCGAGTGAGCACTATCGATTTTAGTTATAAGGTGTTAAGCGAAAATGAGACTGAATCTTCTTCGACCCAGATGCATGAGACATAAGCTAATACGCATACCCAACCAATTCCTACTTCAACACTCAAAGTTGATCATGCAAGAATAGATTGGAAGGAAACTCGAGACAGTCAAACCAAGATATGGCATAAAAATCGGTAGTTGAATCGAGCCGTGTCTTCAGGTGCAGAATATACGCCCGGAGTTCACTCGATGATCGTAAGCAATGACGGGAGACGATAATTGACATGGCTTAGAATCGGTATATGGGAGTAGATGCATTGCCTCTTTGTCTCCCTCGAAATCTTAAACCTCAGTATTATTTCGCATATTTTATTCTTCTTATTCATCTCTTCTTTCCTACTCATACTTTGCGGTCCTTAATGTTTTTCAGTATCATCTATCATTTTAACTCTTTGCTAATCGTCTCACTGTGCCAGTCTGTAGGTTGTTTATGATTGATTGACTCTACGGTTCCTTGTGAAAGCAGTGAACTTCTTGATTATAATCCTCACGAATTAGAGCTCATGAGAAGCTGGTAACTGTATGTAATTCGACTTACAAATTTGCGTAAATTGACATCATTGATTGTATTATGTCTATTTATCAACTACCCCAATTTAATGTACTGGCTGTCTAATATAAATAGGTTGGAAACATTATCTAAGTGACTAGACAAAGAAATGGTGTCGATTGGCCTACATTTTACTTTCCTGTGGATTTTAATATCTACTTTCATTTTTGTTTACCACTATTTTTTTAATCAGCATTTTCACTCCCATTTTCAAATTGTTCATTCTACTGTTATAAAATTAATTTAAAATATATCAATATAGTACACAGATGTTCTCAGGAAATACATTACGTTTTTATTTCTCTATTTAATTGTTTTGCTTATTTTATAAGCATTGGTTAAATTCTACATTACTTCACTTATCCATTTTTATTCTTTTATTTTACTTTTCGTTTTATTTCATTAAGATTCATTCAGAATATCGTTCAAATCAAGATGCTTATCTAATTCAGTTGGAAAATTTAGTTGCTCAATTGCCAGTGGTCAATTATACTCTACTCAAGCATTTATGCCAATTTTTACACCGTGTTTCTGTTTACCAATCTGATAATAAAATGTCGATTGAATCATTAGGTATTGTATTCGGACCTAATGTTTTTCGATTTACACCTGAAAACTTGGTAAGTTTTTCTTGGGATGACTGTTGTGATTTTCTGTTTAAATGATTTGACTTTTCCGGCATTAGTGGAGTAGGTAGGGTAGACTTGACTATTATTTCACAGACTTTCCCCTCGGAATTCAAGTTTCATATATATATATATATATATATATATATATATATATATATATATATATATATATATATATAGGTACGTAGCGAGTGCAGCAGGAACTGAGGTTACAGTAACTTCACTTCACAAAATTTGGGATACATCTATTTCATCGTCTTAAAAATAATCTCTATCTGTAGTAATACATTTGTCCTATTTAGAAATCATCAAAAGTCTAAATCTTCAGCTATCTTGTCATATTATATTTGGCTAGAATTATGCGCACAGTTGATTCCCCCAAATTTAGTTCATAGGTGATTGTCCACTTAAAATGAATGGGCTGTCTCTATTAACACTTATGAATATTCTAGGAAATTTTTAAGCCATATATATATATCCTACTGGCTGTCAGATGCGAATCAGTTGCTCAGCACTACCTAATCTTCGATTATATTCAAGTTATCTCGATCAAATTACATTCCTTTAATTGCTCAAATACTCAAACCAATAGAATCAATGATCTTAGTGATAATATTATTAGACAGAATAAATATTCAAAATAAGATTCACAATCTCATTCACTAAAGTGCATATATATATATATATATATATATATATATATATATATATATATATATATATATATATATATATATATATATATATATATAAAGTGCTATATTTATGCAAATAATTTCGATTATTTTGTTTATCTGGTATAATATAAAGAAATTTTTTATATTTTTTTTGACGTCTTTAATACATTTAAATGTATTTGGATAGTGTTATCTTTTGACTATTGATGTGTAAAACGGTTACAGTTCTTGTTCTAGAATTCATTTGTGTTAGTTTCTAAATTATTGATTGTACTGTATTATACATATAAATGTTAGTATTATTATTATTGTGATCAATACAATCGGTCAAATTTCAATAGTATTGTGCTCTCTAAACTAGAAACTTTAACTGTAGAGTAATGGATTTATCGTCGTTCTGGACAATATTGACCGCCTAATTTATGTAGAAGTGAGCTTTTCATCTTTGTTTCATCAGTACGTTCTAATGGCCTTGTCGGTGTCTGGTTGTCTTCATTTGTTTTCGTATTCTTGTTGAATATTACTTTCAGTTAACTCTTGACCTTGTGACTCATTGTTGTCTTACGTATAGGGTGATAGATATGGTCTGTATTAATGTGTTAACCGTTTACCAACGAATCTGAATGTCTTCTAGTTTTTTAGAATTCTTTGATATTATTCTTGTCTTCTGAATTTAGACTTTTTTCGATCACATTCATGTTTATGCGTATCGATATCAGTGATAACAGTATCATATTGTTTTAATTCTAGTTAATGTTTGCGAATACCCAGGTGAAGGGAGTATCCAATTTGTTCAATATAATATACAGTCTACGATCATTTTTATATATGTAATTATCCAGTCATTTATACGTGTATAGTAATGTTTTTGGCTCCTGTTAACAGTATAAATTTTATGGTAATTAATAACAAAAGCCAATAAATAGAATATTCCTAGTTTCAGGGCTTCGAGATTATTTATTCTGTAATCGACCAACACTAGATTAATTCACCAATAAGTATGTTGGTCTAAAGTAATCGTATATTCTTCAATCGATATACTGAATCTATTGAGTTTATGTTCCTGGCTCTGGTTATCTCACAGTCTTCTTTTATACAGCGAAAATGCACTATACCTACTGCTTTTTTCTCACAGCTCATATATATAACTGTAGTTGTACTGAAGAATGGACATGCGTATATATTAAAGAAAGATAAGCGTTATTACTGTTTGTGTTTGGGTGCAGAAATCATTAAGTGTAATAACGATGATGATGATGATAATAATACACATTGTTACATTTAGAAAAGAATTTCTTTCTCATTCCTTATGTGAGAATAATTACAAAATAAATAAAGTTTATTATTTTTGGATAAATAATTAAATTAGTAAATAATAACAGTAGATTTTAATGATAGAATAGCCGTAATAATCATAGATACTAATATCAATAATAGAATTCTTTTCTTTTTATTTATTTCTCATTTATAAACTGATAATTCCATTTTATAGAAAGGTAGATGAATAGATACTCTACGTGGGAATATTTTTTCATTTAATACATAGAATTCCAATTAGTACAATTGATTAGCTAGCAGTATTATTATTATTATTATTATTATTGATTTGTAATATTTACTGATCGTTTTACTAACTCATTAGTTATAACGTATGACTGTCCTTTTCTGAATGATTTTTTCTAAAAAAAAATGTTTTTAATCATTGTAACTAATTTATTCAATAACTAATTGGTCTTTAAAACCTGACCAAATTAAAATAATCTCTTAGCCAGTCAATAGTCATCCATATATATATAGTCTAGGATAAATGTACATCAGCTACATACATCACACTAACACAACACAATATCAGTAAATAGTTGTAGAGATTGTTGAGTTTTTTAACACCATTTGACGGAGGCTCAGTAGTTTATAGTTTATGTCTGTGTGCGAAACCGAAAGTTTCGAGTTAGAGTCTAGCATACGGGATCGTGAGTATGCACTTTTGAAAAGTTACATACTAAGACGAAACGGACATCTAAATACTTCCAGGTTTCCAATATTGGTTTGACATTGATCAGTTCATGATCTCAATAAAAGCATAAATGAAACTAACGAGACGAATTAGTGACTAAAATGAATGAATATCGTTCGGACAGAAGGATTGAAACTTGGATAGAAATGATGTTAAATGTTTGATATTCATTATCTAAGCTGAGATAAAAAGTGTATGCTTCTGATTTACTGTTACTAATTCTACACTATGTTGCGTTATCTAAATTTCCAAACTATTGTTCACAGTTATCGCTTAGACTTCAATTATGTAGTTTGTACTCACCGATACAGTTGAATTCGATAGTCAATGGTCTGTAAATAATTTGATCATGAAAATTAACAAAACAATTTACTAACTAAAGATCTTTTACTACTCTGATTAGTCTGTCGTAATTATTTGCCTATATGGGTGGATTGTCGGTATGGTAAAAAATTCACTCAAACAACTGGTCATTTCACAATTTTCATGACAGTATGATACAAGACTGAGCAAAGCAAAATCGGTGACTGATTAAGCATTTTTATTTTGTAGACTACAGTCAGTAGAGCCCTGAATAAATAACACAAATTGGCTAGTATCACTCACACTATATCGAATCAGATTCTATTTTGACTTTAATTATTTCTGTGTTCAAAAATCAATGTGACGTAATCTCAAATAAAATCAATCAATACACCACTTTGTACAATAGTCCATCATTTAATAGGAAATATTTTGATTACGTTTGACCTATGGGATTGCTCAAACCCTATCATTCGCTTGTGTAATATGGCCAATAAACTTAGTCTCTTGACATTGATGCACTTTTGTTTGTTGTTAGATGGATGATGCCTATCGGAGAAGCAGAAGCAATATATTAATCACCAAAATGATATAATTTCCCTGTAGGCTAAAATGATGATTCTTCATTGACTACCAGGGAGCAGGAAACCAAGATCCTGAATCCCTCTCCAAATTTCTATAACTATTCAACATCAAACTACTGTTGTTTAACCATGGTTTATAACATACTGAACTTTGGTCTGACGAATAATATCGCGTATTCTTATGTTTAAGAAAATTAAACTATTCTACGATTTTCATCTTGAGTAGTTCTACTTTTCCCACTATTGGACGAATTAACTGTTTAATGCTTCGTGATTTTCTGTAGTAACCAAACATACAAATTAAGCCATTCTACACAAAACCATTCTATTTGATCTATTGTTCCGTTCACTTGTATTATAGAGTTTCTTTTAAAAACTTTTTTTAAAAACATATGCATAAATAAAAATCATCAATGTTTCATCTTTCAATTAATTTGAAAGCTTTAGTTCTCTACTAATCCTTTAACATAAAATAAATTAAAATCATTATTCTGAACTGTTCTTTTTTCTCTATAATTTATTAATTTTATGTTTTCATTCTTTATTGTTTTAATTATACTTCACTCAATAATTTCCACCATTTTCTTGAATGTTTTTGCTTGTTTAAATTATTTTTTTTGTTTCAACCTAACCACCAATAGATCAGTTTATTTTTACTGAACACGTTAGATGATAATTTTTCAGATTTATTTTTCTTTTAAAGAAAAACAAATTCAAATAAAGTTGTCATCATTCTCATTTAGTTGAGTACGGAGAATATGGTCTTACCCACCAAATGCCATGGTACGGTCGAGGGTGGGGAGAGTTAGCCCTCCCTCTCGAAATAATCTCTCATGGCCACGCACATACAACCACTGCCTTCTCGTGGCGGGAGTGTCGTTTGCGAAATCGAGAAGACGAAGGCGAATGTCGGCACATTAACCGGGTTAGTGGACACGGAGGATCCACCTAAGGGAGTTGAAAAACCCTGATTCCGAATCAATGCTGCATTTGGGCTCCAGTATCCTGAAGTAACAAATGGTGTATGAACCAATCGTTGGTCACTGGCTACTATGGGACTGAATCTCCTGACGTTGCTCCACTGCCTTGTGGATCAGACCTTTAGGTCGAAGGGTGTATGTGTGTGGCCTCTTTAGAAAGCCACCAGCTTCGGTTTGGGCACCCGGGTAGTATCACAGCCCACACACAAATCAAGTGACTTGTGTGGTGCATATGTATTTGGTGCCCTTTGTACCAATATTTGTGTGTTCAAATAAATAAATAAAATTGCCTGTATTTTTGCCTTCATATAATGAATATTGAGGTTAATTTAGTTGAGAATTAAATGAGTCTCTTATTTTATTATTTTTTCATGTTGCAATATATATTCACCTGAATGGTCGAGTATGTAGTGGCTGGTACCATGTCAACCCCACATAGGTTGTTCTAGCTTCTGGATAGATCAGTTTATGCACCTTTCTCAAGCCACATTTTGAACTTGTTGATTATTCACTTATTAACCCTGACTGTTTTTATTTGGTTGTATGTGTGTTATGTGTCTGCAACTTATTTTGGTCTGATCATGAATATTAAGTAATGCTTGGTGAAAAGGAGTTTGCTCACTCGCCTTCTCATCGCTTCATTTTACATTATCCACTTCATTTCTCTAATTGCCCGACTGTATCAACGAGTGTATGAAACATACGAATCGGAAATTCATTCTCATATTTGGCTTTTTTTATTCCGTTATTGTCTAAATCGATAATTATATACAAGGGTTAGAGATATGTATATTTCGATAACAATCATCATACAATATATTAGGAGTCAGAAATAGGGCCACTAAAAGTATCATTCATACAATCTTATGACGCATTCTCTTTGCCTATCTCTAATTTATTTATCATGTATTTATTCTCCATCTATTTCTCTTATTTCTTCATGTTTCTTCCCCTTTGTTTTGTGATTTATATGAATTGATAATATTTGTTGTTACAGTAATTCTATTATGTTGCTTATTGATTTGTTAAGGTTTTGTTTTTTTAATAAAAAATAATTTACAATACAACGTACATTATTTTACGTATACTGTATATTGATCATAGACATATATATGCCTACTGTGAAGAGCTATTCTAGTGCGTTTTAATCTAGCAGTGCTAGTTGTGTGTGTGTGTGTTTCTATGTATTTAGTTAGTTGATTCACCTATTCATTCATTAATTTTTGTTGATTTGGGATTAGATCGAATTGATTGCGTTATTATACACCTACCCGTTTTGGAAATTGAAAAATTGGTTTGCTTATATATGTGCATATATGTATGTATGTGTGCTAGTAACCTGACAAAACCTCTTTGTTTTATTGTATTACTCTTGAAATGAATAAAAACTGATAATTGATCTTTAATTTCTACTGACTTAGTTCTTTTTTTTCTTCATAATTTGATTTGTAAAAAAGTCTGTTTATAATTGTTTTTAAGGTAATTTACTTTGAGATTATGAATTACAAACTAAGGCATCATTGTGTAGTAATTTTTTATTATTCTAATCGGGGACTCATTAGTAGCATATGCAACACAAACACATACTAAACATAATATGGAAACAGTACGTAAGGAATGCTGCTGAACTCTTTCAAATCAAGATAAACACAATTATACATAAGCTGTTATTACTTGTTTCTTTCCACTGGTTCTTTTTCTGTTGATGTCATTTTGTAGTGAATACTTTTTTGGTATTTTACTAGTAGTATCAATTTTAAGTATACTGAGAGAAATTCTCGCTTGTCTGGTTTCACTGAGAAAACGATATGTTCAAATGCACCGTATGTACTGTGTTTGAACGTTAGTATACGAGATGCGGTTTATTACTTGGTGTAGAAACAGTGTAATTGGTTTAAAAAATTACATTATATAGCGAATATTTGTCACATACAGTTGTCATCTATACATCAACTGGGGAAAATATTAATTTACTTTAGTATAGGGGGATTTAGAGGTAGTTATATTTCAAAGTCTCGGAACATAAACCGACTTAAGTCAGACAAACATTAAAAACCAGAAGGTGCTACACAGCTGTTTCGTCCTATTATAAAATCTCATCATCAGTGTACATCCATGACCCTACTAGTTGTTAACAGGCTGGACTCTCACTGCGATTCCTAAAAGTCCTGAATCCGATCTCTGGTGGGGTTGTGCATATACACTAGTTGTGAAACAGCTATTAAATAGACCCTGGTTTCCAATGGTTTTCCGACTAAGGTCAGTTCGTTATGCAAAACTACAATTATTGGTAGTTCTTTTGAATTTTTCCAATATAGTAACTTTGAATCTTAAATAATTGTATGTATTAGCCTTATTTTTGTTCATTTTTCATAACATTGTAGTTATCATCTTCCTTCTTATGAAGTAGTTATTGTTATGCAATCACTGTTAGTCAGTTGGATGATTTGTAATAAGATTTTGTGTTTGCTTATTATCATCATTGTGATGTATCTCAAATCGTTTTGTCATTCGAATTCAAATATCTCACCAATTCATAATTGATGTAACGCAATAAATAGTTTTACGCGCTGTTTAGCAAATTTAGCTATAATCACTAACCCTCCTTATTTACTAATAAGCTAATTCAATTCAGTGATCAAACATACAGGATTTAAGCCACACTCTTGTGCGTTAGAACTACATTTACTGCTTGACTGCCTAAAATTTAGTGAATGTAGGATAACAGTTCAATTTGCAATTTACACTTAATTCCTTAACAGTGAATTACATTTAAGTTTGATCACTGATGATCGTTTCAATGCTAAAAGTAAATATTACCTTATCTATTTAATATTCGCTTAGTATTGAACATTTAATAATTGTCTGATGTATCAGCCTTTATAGAATTCCAATACTGATTTGTATTTTTTTCTGTAAATTCTATAAAGTTATAAAGTTCACTTGAACTGTTTTCAACCTGATCAATACAGTATTGAATTACCTGTTATCATGATCCTTAATTAATTCATTAACACTGAAATATTTCTACGTATTTTTGTGTGTTAGTGATTTTGGTTCCGATATCTATAGCAAAATGATGTTTTGCGGTGCGTTTGTTTGTGTCCAACCTGTTTTCAATGAAAAAATTGTTCTTCTAGCGAATTTACTCGTCTGTTATTCGTAATAACTGTTGTTGTCTGTCTAATATTGTTTTTCATTCTAATATAGATGTTTATTTGCTTTTTTGCAATCCTAGGGTTATCGAGAACAGAATTCAATCAATCACATCATGGGGATTTTAATTGAACATTCGGACAGTTTATTTCGTATGATTGCACCAAGCTGTGAAAATGTAACAACTTTAAAGGACAATTTATCAGACAAAAATTGTATACAAATTCAAGCTGTTAGAAATAAAAAGTACGAAGATAAATTTGGGTAAATTGATGACATAACATGTTCATCTATATGTAATATGATATGCATGTTGCATTATACGTATATTAGTGGACATGTTTGTTTGTTCATAGTTGATATCTCCATATAGTCAGAGTTTAGAAGGGATAAATATTTGTGATTAATTTTATTTGTATATCAAAAGTTTACTTCGTTCAAAGTTATGTGGAGCAACGAAGATAATCCAAGTCACTATGCACAAGTTGAGCAAAGAAATTCTTCCTTTTCAATTAGCTCCTTATCACAGCTCTACACCAGTATGTAGGTTTTATAATTAATTATTAAATTATTACCAAATAAATCTCCCCACTGATATTTACGACTGGAATTGATCAGTCTCTTTATTGGAATATGTACTTCATATGTAAATTGCCTCGATATTGTCAGTAATATCATAAACATTTGAAGAAGAGATGGGAAGTGGTTAGCAGCGGAATCCAAGACGCGCGTTTCGTCCTATTTGAGACTTGTCAGCTGGATATACCTGCATAAGCTAGTGGCTATACGAACTCGGTAGCTAAGTGGATACCACGGTCTCATTTGAAGCGAAAATCACTGGGTTCGAGTCCCAGAGTGAACATCAGCTCCGTAATCCAGGTGCGTCTAGCTGACGAGTCCCAAACAGTTTCAGTAGAATGCTATGTTAAACTTTCAAATCCAGTTTTATGTGGATGTGGTGGCCAGTATCGTATAGATGAGACAGAATAGAACTTACGGTTTTTTTGTTCGTTCATCAAACTTGTTAGTTGATGCTCTTTTCCTATTAGCGTTACATAGTCAATTGTATTACTACACCGATTACTCGATTTGCTCATTAAATATGTAACTGATTAATTAATTAATTAATTAATTGATTTCAAACTCACTTTTACAGTCCTTAATTCCTATTTATATTCTTGAGTAATATTTGTGATAATCAACAAATTATGTAATTTCAATTTTAATCTTACATTCGTTGATATATTAATCGATTTATATCTTTAGAGAAAATATTGAGATATATTATTAAATTGATTGACCATCATTTACTTGGTACTAATTCTTTACTCAGTTTTAAAGCCCACATTTCAGGATGTTGAGTCATGACGGCGAGCTAAGTGAAAAGAAATGTCCCATCGTTTTACTTTTTGAAAAAAAATAAGGATTTGAACAGATTAACATTTTCTTTCATTTGTGTCTGTATTAGCTGTTTATAACCTGTAGTCTATAAACCATTCTGATTCATAGCAATTAATTCATTCATTCATCAGTTACAGTAAACAACTGTTTGAAGAATGTAATGTAAATGTATGCAAAATTCTGACGATCTATAACTATGCATAAAGCAATTGACTGGAACTAACTTTTATATCATATATCAACTAACCACTTTCCTCACAATTTGAGGAGTACTATTTTAAACTAGTATCAATTTAGAAAGGATCAGAAATGCGTACTTCCTAAAAAAGATTAAAGTATAATGGTTTGTTCATTTTCAATTGAGATTTAGTTGTCATCGGCTTTTTGTACTAACTCAATATCATAATACAAACGTCCCACAAGATTTGCTTATCCATAGTCTATTATTCATAGAGTAAAAATACCATGTTTATTGCAATACTGTTATTTTCATATTTTCAGAATGGGGGTTTGTGGAGTTTATAGTAATTTAATAGTTGAATTTATGGGTTGATTTAGGGTAGACCACCATTGGATTGGTTGGAGTTAGACACTAACATCGTTAGATGCTGGCTCAGTGGTCTAGAGGTTTGGTGTTCGCTCGCGAGATCCGAAGGTCTTGGATTCAATTCATGTATGCGGGATAGTGGATACGCACTGCTAAGAAGTCCCATACTAGGACGAATCGGTCGTTCATTCCTTCCAAGTTTTCAATAGTGGTCTAGTCTAAATCCACTCATGAATTCAACTACTAAATTTTCGTATTTGTTTGGAAAAGTGTGGAAGGAATCGGCGTAATTGAACTTATTCTTTTGACAATCAGTCTAGATATTTTATTCATTAGGTATTTTTTTTTAGAATGTTTTTGTTTGTGGTATTTCTTTACTGTCTTATTTAGATACTTCCATTTCATTGAATAAATTTTGTTACATCTCATACTATTCATCACTTACTATCAATTAACTAAATCCGTTACACCTTTAATTTACTAGACTTCTATTTTGTAAAATGTATTATCAAAACGGTACAACAAATTATATGACTTAAATGGGATTATTCATATAAACTTTTGTGTTTTGTGCAATATTTTTTGTATTTTTTACGATGATTACCTTTAGCAATGTCTAAAAATATTGAATTGCACATACTTTCAGTATAATTATGATTAAATCATGTATACAATAATGTTTGGATATTTAATCACTGTTCGATTGTATTTCGATCATTTCATTTGATAAAACCCATTTTTTTTATATGGTGAATAGATGATTAATCAACCTCTTTAAATGTGTTTTAGTATATGTATTGTAATCTTAAATTCTTATTTATAAACTAGCAATGTATTTTCTTTGTGTGTGTGTGTGTGTGAGCGAATACATTTATGATATGATATTTTATTAATATTTTTTATTTCGACTTGCCAAGACAGTCATTAATTTTGTAATAATTGTAGTTTTATGGTATTTATGTTGCGGTTCATTTCATTTCTTGATTCCATTTTCTTTTCTCCGAAGTTTATTGTCTAAAATTTTTCTTGTAGTATATAATTTATTTATCATATGATTACCACGACGTGCAATGCTAACCGGTGTTCAGGATGGTTGGAAGAAAGTTAGGGGCGGCCAAACCAAAACGTGGCATCAGTGCTTGAAGTCACTAACTTGTAGTCTGAGCCATGTTGGTAGATGCAGACTACTTGGTTGGAGTCCGCGTGACAATCGTAACCAATGGTTGGAGACTCTTGATGACATGGCTCAATCGATCACAATGGCGTCGGTGTATGCACTCTGTCTTCCCTTAAACTAAGAGATTAAAATCGCTTCATATCTTACTTTCTACGAACTAATTCTTTCTTCCTGTACTATATACTTATTGCAATAATTCTTTTATATATTACCACCTCTGAATTAACTACTTTTATGAATCCGGTGTCCATTTTGTTGTGTTGATGAGGTATGGCAACTTGGTCCGATGCATATATGTGCCTGGTTCTACGTTGTAGCTGACTGACTGACTCTGGAACAGTGATAGTAAAAAGAAACCGATGGACTAGAAATAAGTGATTTCATAGTTAATTAACGCTGACTGACTGACTGTATTTTATACTGATTTCAATAGACTCTTTAATGTACTCATACTGAATCCGTTTCAGTCAGAATTATCTTATCGGACAATATCAGTACAATGTAGAATTAAAAACTAAGTGATATTAATTTTTTATATTGAAAATATCGTTTCAATACATTGATTGGAAATTTTGGAATTTATTAATAATAAAAACGTTGACTATTCTTGTTATTGTGTTCATTTATATATTATGTGTTGGTTTAGACGAATTATTCTCTGCATTGTCATTTAAACTTTATATAGAATCTTAACTTGATCAAATTCTTTAGTTTAAATAGATTAGCTGAAGTATTGGAATACTAACTATTCGTCTGTGTAAATGATCATTTTGTTAGTGGATCTCTTTCTTGTTGTTTGAAAATGGGAACAATTGTCAGCTTCTCCATTGGTCTGTAAACCTATTTTTCTCGCATTTGTTTACAGAATTTATAGATTAAAATCTTATACATCATTTCATCAACTGAACTTAATTATCAATGAGGTGTTCATTTACATCACCATACATAAAACCGCCACGTTATCAATGTTCTAGAAAATTCTTGTACATTTGTCATTCATGTGGAAGTGAGATTTGTGTGTGGACCAGGTGATCTAGAATATTTTTAGAGGTATGAGAGTGGTTATCACTTGCTGGTTGCCCACACCGTGGTACCTAAAGAAATTGGATTACAGACTGTTCTGAATACCTGAGGCTAGTAGTTAACTGTTTGCGGCCTGTAGTATATGGCTTTTTTCTAATTAGTTTCGTTTATGTTGGATCCGTATATTTAAGGCTTTATCGCTGGACACTCAAATCCTTAGGGATCGTCAAAGTGTGAAATTTTATGGTAAACCTTTTATTACTTCTTGCTTCTGTCGTGGAAATGATGCTTCACTACAGATGCTGGTTGTTCGACGGAACCTTATTGTTACCAAATCCCTGCCAAGTCAGCAGTACGACTTCAAACCAGTTTTCCACTTTTAGTCTTACTGACCTTGAGATGGTAGAACGTAGATGAACGAGTTTAAGGTCGATCATCGCTTCATGGTAGCACCTAGCTTAATGTTTTTAACTTTAATTGGATCTCTATTACTCTATACCGTTATTTATGTACATTAGATTCTGGTCTGCACTGATTTTAAGCTTCATCAATAGTTTTATTGCTTAATTTTTACGGAGTTGATGGATGGAAATTAGTGTTATCCCATTTATATAAATTTTGTTGCTTTTCTCCAGCTCATATCTAATTTTATTTATTGAAGTGTCTATTATTAAAGTTTTACAGTATAATTGATTTCATCAAAATTTAACGAGAGTATGCCTTCCATTGATTTTTAGCCTAATGTTTTATGATCTAGTCCAGTATAAGTTATTAAGTTGTATAAATATAAATTTTCTAGGGTCTCATTCAGCACAAGACCGTTAATGGTGATAATAATAACAATACAGTAGATTACAGAATGAGGATTAATCAATTAACGTGTTTTAAATACTTTCTATTCTAATATTATTACTTTTTCTTAATGAACATAAAATCATATTTTCTTAAGATTTTGTGTAATGGCACAGACATTCCGTAGTCCTTCATATATGTACTAAATAAAACACGTGATCCGCTTTTAAGTATATGATCCAAGTTGTAGAATTATGGAATGAAGTTAGATATACTGAAATAATGTTGTTATTGTTTGCTTAATATTTAGTATCATCATAACAA